ACACACACACACACACTCAAACATACAAACATACACATAAAACCTCTGACCCCCTGACCTTGAACTGACACTTGCTGACGGGCTGGTAGCGCAGGATGATGATGCTGGCAGCCACGATGGTGTACCCGAACAACGTGCCGATGCTCATAAACTCCACCAGGGTGGTGATCTCAAACAGCAGCGCCATCACTGCGGACAGGCCTCCAAACACCACCACGGACACCACAGGCGTCTACAGAAGAGGGGGGGGGGGGGGGACAAATGTGAGGCAGCGCGGTGGAATCAGGCTCTCGTCAAAATAGTCAAAGTGAAGAAACTTGCATTTTTCCGCAGGTTTGTGAGTTTTTATCACATTTTTGTGTTTTGGCTCAACAGCTTTCATGCCCATTAAAAAAACTCATTTTTGTGTGGTTTTTCTTAAAAACGTTGATTAAAGTCACAAAAATGTAAATTTTCAGTTACCACAGACTCATCAGCTAAGGAAATAACCAATCTTTGGTGGCCATTTTCCGACTAATTTTACCTTTGAAAACAGATGACCCCATCTCCTTCATTATCAAATATCTCGACTCGTATTCAAGATAAATGGATATTTTTTTCAAGGAAATAAAGACAAGTGAACAAGCTTTAAGATGACACCAATAACTCTACATGCCCAAAAATTGACGAGAGCCTGATTCCACCACGCCGCCTCACAAATGGAAGTTGTTAGGGAACTACAAATACAACACAAATACTAAACAAATGCAAAGCAAAATAAATGCTGCAAAAACAAAACAGGGTTAACACGTTATTCAAATGACATCCTTTCAGAATAAAACGTTGTTCCCGCGTCCGATCCGGACATTGGGGATTTCCTTGTTAGTTACTGAGACAACAAGAAGAGTAGGAATACCATCATCTTGAGCGACTTCGTGAGCTTTAAATTGGATGGGGCGACTGCAGAAGTTCAAGACTTAGTGGGAGGAGCAGAAGGCTATGGAATCAACCCTTGCTTGGAACCGTCAGCATCTACACACTTCGAGATGTGCTTCTTCAGGGGATGGCGAGCGTATTATGGGGATGTCCCTTGTGCAATGATGTCGGTCCTTCACACAAGTAACACAAGTGAGACAACATCCTGGGCCTTCGGCATATGTGAGGCATCGTGGTGGAATCAGGCTC